ATATATATATATATATATATATATATATATATATATACAGTAGGGCAGCAGGTGGTGCAACTGGTAGAGCTGCTGCCTCTCAGCGAGCAGGTCCTTGGTTCAAACCCCGGTCCCGGGGCCTTCTGGGTGGAGTTTGCATGTTCTCTTCGTGCATGCGTGGGTTTTCTCCGGGTGCTCCGGATTCCTCCCACAGACTAAAAACATGCATGTTAGGCTGCTATGAGTAACGACTAATCCTACAAGGCTAATTTAGAAAAAGAACATATTCACCTTTTACTGCTGTCAACAATAAGAGTTGGAGCTGCCATTTCTGAGAGCTAGCCAAGACCTTCCAGAATATCATCCCAATTCTCAGAACAAGCAGGTCCTCTAACTCCTTAGGATTCCTGGCTTCTCTCAGGAGCTACTGTAGATCTGCCAGTCCAGCAGTTTCCAGTTGGATTAAGGTCTGGCTAAAAGTTAGCTTGGCTAGTTGGCTACAAGGAAGCTTCTGGACTTACTGCTGCTGTATTCTCCACTCAATTTATCTTCTTATGCATATCTTTTTTGAGATTCAGAAGGTCTTGGCCACAGTGTTCATTTGAATGTTTTTGGTTAATAATATAATTTGTGATAAAAATTAAACATGTTAAAAAGATAAAATATGATCTTATCAAAGGAAATATTTTACATAAACGTTTGTTTATCGTGAATTAACTGCCAACAACAAAAAAGTTTCACATGCAACAAAAGATATGAAAAGCTGAACAATGCAGCTTCAGATCAACAAGCTGATGATTTTACTTAATTTTTTTTTTTTTCATTTAGCCTTTATTTATCCAGGTTAGTCTCATTGAGCCACGAGAACTCATTTTCAAGAGAGACCTGTTTAGGGAGCATATGGTGGGGGTTAAGGGCCTTGCTCATGGTTCCAGAGTGGGACGAATGAGGGTGGGGGCAAGTGTGAGCGTTTCACCTACCCCACCCACAATTTTGATGTTGTCGGGGCCGGGGCGTGAACCGGCGATCTTCGGATCACAGGCCCACCTCTCTAACCTCTGCGCCACCACTCCCCAAAACAGTTGAGTCTTTAAGCAGTACTCTCAAGAAAAACTGTCACAATGATCAGTCATATCACATCCAGTACAGAATGTTGACACTTTTAAAGGATGCAAATTTTATGTACACCAATGACAATGCTTAAACCAATAATTAATGGCTTGCACAATCAGATTTATTCATTTTTTTAATTGCATGGTACCAAAACCACCTGAACAGTGTTTTTGAACAAAGTTCTCTGCATAATAAAGTTCTGTTTAAAGAAAAAAGACATTGCCAAGATTTTGAATTGTAAACGCCTGCACAGTGCTTCAGACATTTTTAAATAAACGGAGTGAAGTTGTCCAAATGTCTTAAGATTTCCTAAAACAAGATTTAAAAACATTTTTGGAAGTCACGTTGGGAAATCAAGTCTCCCAGATGAAAAATTAGAGAACTCATTTACACATACAGGTTTAGGAGGAACAAACACTGATACTTGTTGCAACAAACACATTGCCAAAGCCACATTGTGCAACAAAATTCTGTAGTGACAGCATCTTGGCTAATTTGTCCTTCCTCCAGTCTAAACTAGTCTCCCACTGAAACCATTTAATAATATGAAAAAATATATATATCAACCCCAAACAGTTGAGCAACTGAAATTCAATGGGAACAAAACCTTTGATTTCTGCACAGCTGCAGAAAGAAAAGCTTTGCAGAGAGTGGTGAAGGCTGCACAGAAGATGTTGGAGTCAGTCTCCCCACCATCACAGACATCTACACCTCCAGATGCAGGAAGAGAGCCATCTGCATCATGAAGGACCCCACTCACCCAGCACACACACTTTTTGTCCTGCTTCCCTCAGGAAGGAGGTTAAGGAGCATTAAGTGTAGAACCACTAGACTGAGGAACAGCTTATACCCTGAGGCTGTTAGACTCATGAATCCCTAGTCAGAATAATCACTGAAAAAAAATCACACCATGTTGCTGCTGATCTGTTTCAACGTTGATGTGTTCGTGCGTGCTCATCTGCTTACACGGACTCATGTTCAGGTTTGTGCTGATGTTCGACGTAATGATTTTATGCTATTAGTGCTTAGTGTATATTTAGTTGATATCCTGATGCATGCTCAATAATCCAGGTAGAAACATCCAAAAAAGTTCAATCTGGTCCTCTGGACATTCAAAAAAACAAAAAACAAAACAAAGCAAAAAAATGTAGAAACGTTTCGTCTCTCATCCGAGAGACTTCCTCTGTCTGAGGTGCTGTATTCAGCTCAGTCTCTTAAATAGCACCTTCTCAGAGTGGATCAACCAGTTTTGCTGCTGACAACCAAACCCCTTCCCAGAAAAGGTTTGATTAGTGATTTTAAGTCTTCTGTGTTTGGTGTAGATAAGATGTTTTTCCCTGGTTTCATAAGTATGTTGTGGACCACTTATTGGGATGAGCTCAGTTAATCTATTATTAGTTTAATTTACAATTTGAAACATCAAACATGCGTTATGATACACATTTAATTCTGTTAGCCGAAGAAGACCACAGCGATGAACTAGATGGAATGTGGGTGCATTATACTCGGACCATGACACGGCTCTTATTATCTTCTTTTGAAGGCTTTCAAGTTTCTTAAGATAACTAGGTATATAACGTTACAGTATGTAAAGTGTGGTTCAATGAGAGTTTTATACATTGTTAAGAGTGTGGCTAGAGGCAAATAATATCATAATTTAAAAAACAAGTCAACGTATTTGGACAACTTTGTTAAGAGATATTAAATATGCAATTTAAAAATTAAGGACTCATCTATGTGGACCCCCAGGGATTTTGTAGAACTTACTCTCATTAATTTCTCATTTTCAATTTTGAGAATTACATGATCAATTAAAAGTTTAGATTTACTGGGTCTAAAGAGAATAAAATTTGTTTTGCTGATATTAAGAGATAACTTGTTACTCTTGAACCAGTTTTTTTTTTTTTTTTTTTTTCAGTTCTGCATTTACTATTTCCTCCAGTTCTGAAAAAAAATTTATATGAAAAAAATACAAGTTAGCATCATAAGCATAAATGACCTTATGAAATATTTTGGAAGAATTTACAAAGTCATTAATATAAATAATGAAAAGTAATGGTCCTAAGATTGAACCCTGGGGGATGAGCTTGGATCTGGACCCACATGAAGTTTTGTTTGGACCCACTTGCAAATGTTTTATTGCATTTAGCTGTATCTATTTTATGTATGCATTTTAGGTGAAGCAGCTTTTCATGTATGGTAAGTTCTTGAATTAAATATACTGTCTATTCTGTGATATACTGTCTATTCTGTGATATACTGTCTATTCTGTGATATACTGTCTATTCTGTGATATACTGTCTATTCTGTGATATACTGTATATTCTGTGATATACTGTATATTCTGTGATATACTGTATATTCTGTGATATACTGTCTATTCTGTGATATACTGTATATTCTGTGATATACTCTCTATTCTGTGATATACTGTCTATTCTGTGATATACTGTATATTCTGGATGCTTGCAAGAGAATAAATTCTTAAAGTGGACCTATCTGACTTTTAATTAAACATCACTGTTGTATTTGGACGTGCTGTTTAATTTACTATGAGTGTCAGATTCACGTTCTCTTTTGTAATTTAATCAAAGGTCACTCCAGCACTCATCCCTAACAGATTGAAACAAGAGACAAATCAACACTTTGAGCAGTGCTCCTCCAGAATGCCACAGGCCTGCTGCAGCTGCAGAATCAGCTGCTAACATGGAGACACTAGCCACTGACAAAACACAAAAGTACATTTTTATCTCTGTTGGAAATCTCTCAAGAAGTCTTATGCAAAGAAACTTCTGAACATTGAGTCAAGCTTCAACTTGGGTGGGTACTTCTTCTTATCAGTCACGGCACCATTTATAAAGTTAAACAAGTAAATAAACAACTCTCCCGTGAAGCGGAGAGTATCTGAGTATCTCAGTGGAGCAGTACTAGTTGACCGGGAGATGAAAGGTACCTCAGAGAAGAACATTTCTACATGGCTTCAACACAGCAGTAAACCTCTCTTTGTTGTTTTTCTGGTCAAGCTCAAGTTAATTTCTGCGCCGCTTTGAAAAAGAAACACAGTTGGAAGTTGTGTGAGACAGAGATCAGAACAGGGAAGTGCAGATGCATCTAAAAAACTTAGAATATTGTGGAAATGTTAAAATTTTTGTCAATCATTTCAGAAAGTGAAACTTGTATATTATGCCATTCATTACACATGGAATTAAATATTTCAAGCCTTTATTTGATTAAAAAAAACAAAAAACGTAGTGTCTGGTAAAATGAGAATATTCCACAGCCAGCTTTTGGTATTTGGTGCCTTTGTCAGTGTGGGCAGGGTCCAAGTCCTGCTGGAAATTCAAATCGGTATCTCCATAAAGCTCGTCAGCAGAAGGAAGCATGAAGTCTCTAAAATGTCCTGGTAGATGCTACATTGACTGTGGACTTCAGGAAACACAGTGGACCAACACCAGCAGAAGACATGGACCCAAACCATCACTGACAGTGGAAACTTCACACTGGACTTCAAACAACATGGATTCTAGACCTCTCCACTCTTCCTCCAGACTCTCGGACCTTGATTTCCCAAATGACATGCTAAATTTGTTCATGCTGCTGTTCGTTGCCTGAATAAACAATACACCTTTTAACAGATGTTATCCCAACAGTTCGTGTAAACCGACCTTGATTAAAGTTCATGGTTTGGCAGAGTTGTGATTCCCCTCACTCAAATAAAGACACAAATTCAATCCACTAAAATCACAATTCTGTAACATTTAGTTTCAGTTTGAATAGTGACAATACGGCAAATATTGAATAAGAATGAATAACCAGATAGTGTTATTTCAGAAGGGTAAATAATATAATATAGCTTAAAGCTTTGAGAAGGGATGTTATTCAATTTGAACTAATGTTAAAATTTATGTAAACTTTATCTCAGATTCGTGAACTAAATTAAAATCTAAAAGCCTCGCTGGCACTGAGTTGTTCTTCTCATCAGAAGAAAGATATTACTACCCGAGAGATGTCCTCATTACCCATTATGGATATGATACGAAAAGAACCTGTGGTTCACGCCGTCCCTCTTCAGGACCGCGTTCCGTTCGGCCAAGCCGTGCTCGCAACGCTTCGGGGTGTTTGAGGGCGTTCCGTGGACTTTTCTCCATTTCCAATAACTCGACCTCCGTCCAAGATGGAGGGACTGAAGCAGCAGAACCCAGCTGGTTCCTTGGACTGGCTCGGAGCCGACAATCAGCCAGTGACATCCCACTTCTGCCAACTTTGGACAACTTCATGTTAGTGCTGCTGTTCAGCGCATTGTGTTTGTACTACTAGTGCTTAGTGTATTTTTATTAACATTTTTCTTAGTTCATATCTTAGATCTTATTACTGTTTTTCTTTTACAGTTTATACTTTTGTTGGATATAGCTGGGACACCGTGTACACAATTCCGTTCCACCTCATGCACCACATGTGATGCGAATGACAATAAAGAACCTTGAATCCTTGAATATACTTTCATCTGAAAAGAGGACGCTGGACCACTGTTCAACAGTCCAGCTCTTTTTCTCCTCAGCCCACGCTGCTGACGTTGTTTCTGGTTCAGGAGTGGTTTGACTTGAGGAATGAGACATTTGTAGCTCATATCTAGGAGTTAATCCTCTGATCAGGGTGTGACACTAGGAGTTTAAAATATTGAACCTCTTCACAATATGCTAATTTTCTAAGACACTAATTTGTAATAGCGTAATGAATCTATATAATGAAACGATTGACAAAAATGGAACTTTTTCACGATATTCTAATTATTTTAGACGCTCTCGTTATCTGGAGTTTTATCTTAAACACTGGCAGGAACACAGAAAACACAAGAGGACTAATCAGGAGCTTTGTCTCTGATTGCATTATGCATGTGTGTGTTCTTGTTCAGTCTCAGAGACCAACAAACAGCAAGATCTTAGCTGTGCTGAGTTCAGCCAAGACGACAAGTTATGCGTTACACAAAGGCACACAGATGTGGCCTTTAGAGCAGAAAAATGTAAAAATAAAGGAACCCCGGAGAATCAGATCTTATCTCCATCTTCCTTTATTTCTTTATGTCAGTGAGTCTGAAAAAAATGTTTTGAGCTTACAGAATGTGTGGAAAACACAGCTGGTGTTTATTTCAGTGAACACAGATACAGTGCAGTACCTTCTCGTAGCGTGTTTCCATGCAGAGGAAGACCATGTAAGCTGTTGCACAAGCCAGACATCCTTCCAGGTACGACTGACTTCCAATTTTTTCAGCCTCCACATAATAGGAGTTCAGGGTCTTCACCGTCTGTTCAAGTAAAGCTCTCTCAATCTAAATACAAACAAACAAAGGTAAGACTATGACAAGAAGACAGCAAAAATAATATCTTTGACACAACAGGAGGCTGCTCCACCTTACAGGACAACTTACCAAACTGAAATACTGCAGTTTTATTAACCCGTTAACTACATTTCAGTTGCTGAATGCAGATAAATAAAAATATCTGATCAAAAACATGGTGGTTTGAAAGTCTGTCAGAGAAGATTTGAATAAAAGAATTTAAAAATGTATCAGAATCCTTTCCTTTTGGTCCTTTTTTGTTTTGCGCCATGCGTGTTGAATGTGTTATCAGGGTGTGAACTTCTAAAACAGTCTCCCTGTTGAACACCTTTCATATGCTTAAAAATCTAATTATCACTGACAACAGCAACTTGCAAAAATACAAGCACAGAGTAATGTTGTGTGAATAATATAGGCTATACTGAAAATGTTTTGATTATCTGTGGATCTGACAGAAACTGAATCCGTCATTGTTTTTTTTTTGTTTTTTTTCCAGCTAATTTCAGCTGTTTTTTCAACAGTTTTGTGCTACTTTCAGCTTTATTCAGCAAAGTCAAACATTTTTGTACTTCTTGAAACTTATTTCTGCTAAATTCAGCTATTTCTGCTATTCAGCTATTTTCAGCATTTCGCTATTTTTATGCTAATTTCAGCTTTTTTAGCTAATTCCACTTTTTTTTTTTTTGCAAACAAGTCAACTTTTTACAGCCTAATTCAGCAAAATCATGCTCTACCCACTTCCTTCTGGTAATTTAAGCTTATTTCTGTTTGTTTTATCTACTATTCAGCTGTTTTTTTGTAAATTTCAGCTTTTCTCAGATAATTTCAACTTTATTGTGCTAATAATTTTTTTTTTTCATTTTTCATTTACCCTTTAATTGTACAGGTAGTCTCATTGAGCCACATAACTCATTTTCAAGGGAGACCTGTTTAGGGAGCAGATGGGGGGTTAAGGACCTTGCTCATGGGCCCAGAGTGGGGCGAATGAGGGTGGGGGCACTTCACCTACCTCACCCACAATTTTGATGTTGTTGGGGCATGAAACGGCTATCTTCGGATCACAGGCCCACCTCTCTAACCTCTGCGCCACCACTCCCCAACCCAATTCCTGCCTCTTTTGGCCTTAGTGGCCACAATTGTGCTCAATCCACTTCCTTTTAGAAATTTAAGATTCTTTCTACATTTCTTCAGCTGTTTTTGGCAAATTCCTGCCTTTTTTTGCAGATAATGTCAACCTATTTGTGCACATTTCTGCTTCTTTCAGCCTTATTGTGCACTTCTCTGCTCTCTCCACTTCCTTCTAGTAATTTTAAGCTTCTTTCTGTTTGTTTTAGCTACTATTCAGTTGTTTTTGACTAATTTAAGCTTTTTGCAGATAATTTCATCTTTATTATGTTAATTTCTGCCTCTTTCAGCCTTAGTGGGCACAGTTAAGCTCACTTCACTCCATTTTGAAAATTTGAACTTTTTCTACATTTCTTTAGCTACTATTCAGCTGTTTTTGGAAAATTTCCGCTTTAAGATAATTTCCACTTCTGTTTTCATCTACTAACTTAGGCTTGTTCTTCTGTTTCAGCTACATTTCTGTATGTTTTTAGCTCATTTCAGCTGTTTTTCTGCAGGTTATTAAGCAATAAGCATCCACACTGCATTTTCACAGGAAATGCAAATTCTCAGTTCTTTGTAAAAATGTTTATTTATGTTTAGATTTATTACAAAAATTACAGGACAGATTAGTTAGGAGTATTTTCATGAACATATGCACCAACTTTAAGCCAGCATTTATCCCACCAGTGTTTTGCTCATGTATACATCAATGTAATGTGTGCATAACGTGCATAATTATCAGGCAAGTGCTACCACACCAGACTGAATATTAGTTGAATAAATACAGATCAAAATTCTCAATTTATAAAAAGAGCAATTAAAAAAGATCCCTAGTACATGATATAAATTGTTGTACTCTGTGATATACAGTTTAAAAATTGAGTAGTAAAATAACACCTAAGAATGTTTTTTTAACAAACATATAAATTATCATTTATAGAATAATTTATTAAAGATATCAGTGACAAAAGTGATGCATTTCCACTCTTTTCAAACCATTTAGTGAACAATACTGACCACTTTTCAATAGGTTTCAGTTACCGAGTCAACCAGAAGTATAGTGATGGGGCACTGAAATATAATGATTCGATCTTTAAATGAGAAAAATCGACTTTGAACTGGCTTATTTATTTGTTTATATATTTTAAATGGTAAGAAATTTAATCATTTAACCCATAAAATAGCAGCATAGTCACATCTAAATAGTTTAATTCAAAAAGATTTAACCAACTAAGTTTGCCTTGTAGGCAAATTCTGCATTAGTTTACTGTACATGAATTAGGGTTAGAAAATACAAACAAAAATGATAAAAAAATGATTTAAAAAAGAAACTTTAACATGACAATTAAGAAGACAATGTGTTGTCTTTTTGAGTTGGAGCAGGTGAGCTTGGGGCTTGTGCTCACCCTGTTGTTGAGCTCTGAGGGGAACTTGGTCTGAAATCGGCACACGGTTCCTTCGCTGTAGTCTCTCTGCAAGAACACCTTTGTTACCAACGACGCATTGTGCTGCATTTCCTGGAGGTTGTGGAACTTAGGAGACACACAAAGTTGGAAACAGTGAAGTTCAAAATACATTTGTATTATCAAAATTCATGCTCAATAATCCAGGTAAATAATCCAACAATGTTCAGTCAGGTCAACTGAACGGTTTCTTTTTTATTTTTATTTTTTGCTGAGAAGTTTTGTACTTCATCCAGAGGACTTCAGCAATCTGAGGAGCCACGAACAAACTGAGTCCCATAAGCAGCACACTCCCATAGTGGGAAAAAAAAAACCAGTTTGCTAGTGTTAAGATGTTTTCTGAGGCCCGCCCTCTCCTCCATCAAATCCTCTGAGGCAGCCATAGTCAAAGAGGTTCAAAACATCAAAGTTCATGCTCAGTAATCCAGGTAATAATCCAACAATCTTCAATCAGGTCATCAGTACATCTGTGCTACTTAAAGAATACATTCTTAAAATTCTTAGCAAAACTGCAGCAACAAACTGGTTGATCCACTCTGAGAAGGTGCTATTTATAAGACTGAGCTGAATACAGCACCTCAGATTGAAGAAGTCTTTCGGATGAAAGATGAAACGTTTCTACTTTTTAATTTTTTTATTTTTGGTTTTGTTTTGCTTTGTTTTGTTTTTGAATATCCAGAGGGCCAGATTTAACTTTTTTAGATTAAAAAATGTATCTTCACTTTGGCCACTCCCTGGATAAATTAGAAATAAATATTAAAGGCTTCCACTGGAATAAGCTTAAATTGAAGCCTAAGTAACTTAGTCCATTGTACAGAAAGGTTTTTCAATAGGAATCAGTGTGTAACTGTTAGAAAATTAATACTTTTTAAACTGGTTGTACTATGGTTGATAACAAAAGTGCAACAGTCTACTCAGTTAAAAACACATTTTAAATTTTACTATGTCAGCAACAAAGTTTATAGTACTTAATACTTGCAGTGGATTTTTTTCAGCATCAACAGGCCCAGTTGCAGGAACAACACCCTGAAGACTCCTCCTTCCAGCACTTTGGCAGTGAGCTGTCCGTTTTACACCCAAACAGCCAGAGTAAACTTGTCCACTGCTGAGCTAAATTACTTCCATCAAGGGGATGGCAATTAGTGACACGTTAGAGCAGAAAAAACTGTAAGGGGGAGTAAGAAATGCAGTAAATGTTGTATTTTTTTTCAGAAGATTGCTCAAATTTTGTGCAGCTTTTCTGTGAGTTTGAGTTTGGCAAGCTGCAGGAATGTTGTTATTATTGGAAGGTAGTACGTTCATGTAAGCAGACAGAGCACAGAGCCAGTCTTTCATCTCTATATGAAGCCAGCCTACATCACTCAGAGCCAGGAATAGCATCTAAGGTCCTATTTTCATCTGCTATCAGCCACAATCATCTCACTGATGGAGCTTTTAATATCCTTCTCTTTGCTTTCTCTGTTTGTCTAACACATTCTCTGTTTTTAAAGCGTCATGATAAATCAGTCGTTGGAATAAGAGGCGCAGTCTTCAGCACATGGTCGTGCATTGTTTATCTAAGATAGAATCAGCGGGATGAACGACAGCCACTTTACATTAATAATACAGGCCCGTTGTTTCTGACGGCAGGTGAAAATGAGTTCAAGTGCAAAACTTCTGTCATATCCATTGAGATGGTTTCAAATTGAACTGTTCACCAATAAATTAAAACACATAGTGTGTTCAAACTGCTGACGTTATGCTGTTATCATTTCTCTGTTGCTGAGAGAAAAGTAGCGCATTGTTTTAATGCATGATCAAATACTTTTTACAGCTTAATCTGTTTAAATGCACTCTGAACAACCAGACAGCTTGTACTTGGCTGCTGCATCAGTGACTTGTTCAAGGATTTGTCTTGTGCTGCTATATTCGGTCTTTTTCTATTTAAAATATGAAACTAAACATTTTCTGTTTGCTCACTGCTCATGTTTACCTCTTCAAGGTTCAAATTTAGCCTTTTCCTTCATCTAAATTTGGTGATGTTAAAGTATCAAATGGATGTTTTTTTCTCACCATTCCCCCTAGACATCATGGCTTTTTTTTTATATTTGTTTTGGCATTGATTGCAACAAAGTAAAATATGAAAGTTGACTAATAAACAACCGGAGGACTCTCTGATCCACATAATAAAGTACACAAATCCAGCAATGAGGACATAAAGGATCCACACTTTGTTGTATGTTTGTAGAGTAATTCCACTCTAAACAGTGGACTAAAGTAGAACATTTTTTCATAAATTTACATGTGTTTATAAAAAAACAACAACTAACAGCCGAATGTATTACCCAGTTAAATCCACAGATTATCACTATACAGTAGTCCCTTGCTTTTCCGAACCCTGAAACCCCTCGATAAGTCCCCCCCCCCCCCCCCCCCGCAAAGTAGGAATAGTAGTACAAGTAGTATTTTAAACCCTTCCCACACTCTTGCAATATTCTAAACAATGTTTCTAAACTCTAAATGCTTTAAAAGAGCACAGAATGTCATGATTTTAGCTCCCTGCCTCCGCTGCTCTCAGCCACCTGCAAGTGTTCTTGGCCACGCCCACTTCTATGCTCTGCATGGCGAACAGCTGCAGGAAGTTGCAGCAGGAAGCTTATCCTGCAGCTCAGGGCTGCACAAAGGTGCAGCAGTTGCTAAATGATGTAAAATAATTTATTTTAAATAAAAATTCCATGCCGATCGTGCGGCTCATCCATCAATCAGCCAGTTGCGTGTCATGTCCAATCTTACTTTGAAAAAACCGCGATAGAGCGAGTCCACGATAATGAACTGCGACGTAGCGAGAGACTACTGTATATGTTAGTGAAAGTGCTATATGTTGTCATGATTATGATACAATTTGTTCTCTTCTTTTGACCCATAATGCATATGAAACGCACACAAGTGGAGCAGCGGCAGTGGCTGCCTTGCTCATAGACACCCCAGTATGTGGGCTTGGTGAGGAATCAAATCTGCAACTTTCCAGTCCCATGGTGGCTTTCCTACCACTTCACCACAGCCACCAGAGGAGTGTCAATTACCATTCTGTTAAAATGTTTCACCCTGTATCTTGTCAGGCAGCACAGAAATAAAAGCAAACAAAATATACACCAACTGAGAGGCTCAGTGTGCTGTAACTATAGTTATAGTACATCACACAACATAAACAAACATTGCAAAATCTGTGAGAACACTTTGGAAATCAATGGGATTTAGACAAAACAACTGAGAAATTGCAGCCTTCTTTGAAGCTCTATGGCTCAGCAATATTTTGCAGTACAAACCTCATTCAAACTTTGAATGTGTCACAAAATAATTGAACTTTCCAAGTCTGAAATGGCATTTTGACATATTTTATGGTTTTCCTACAATCACAGTTTATGTTTTATGTTGTTCACTGATTTGACAACAAAATGTTCAACTGACAGTTAATGATGTCACACACTAACAATTGAATTGTCTAAAAGGTTCACTTTTTTTGCAAACAAACTCTTCTTACTCTACAATTCCTTTTGGAACAAACACAAATAATAATAAAAATATGATTTTTTTACCTTTTTTCACTCAGTGTTTGTCTCTCTCTCCTAAAGTATTTGTGATTTTCTCCCCAATACCCCCTGAAAGAAGAAAATGCTCAGCCAGGCTTCTACAGACTTTAGTCATATTTCAGGTCAAACCCCTGTTTGAACCTAAAATGTCTTTTTAATGTGTCTTATTCCCTACATAAAACACTAGAAACATCAAAATTCACATTTGTGACCATCAGAATCTTTTGCCATTCACAGTTGAAAAACTTTAAAGATCTGAGTTTTTGCACAGTACATGTTTGATCATCTTATATTCAGCTTTGTCTGTGTAAATGAACATATATCTGTGAGATATTATTCATAAATTAAACGGATTCTTTCATTTTTCTGGACTGAATTCTATCGTGCATTGAACGATTAAATGTGACGTGAGACGTTAATTTTCTTTGACCCATCAAAATGCATGCGGTCATTTATTAACAGAATCAAAGTTTAACATCAAACATTTACATTAATTTGGCAACATTGATTTCAACAACAACAACATAGCTTAGTTAGCAAGCTTTACAATTAGGAAACCATACGGCCATGGTTTCCCTTGCAACTTTAAACCAACAGACATTTCTGAAAATATCTGGATGATTTACTGGCAAGATAGAAGAGTTTTAAAGATGGGAAATGAAGTTTAAATGGAGAGAAAGGATGGATGAGGGAATAGGTGTCTGTATCAGAACGGCACTCTCCATTAGATCCCAGCTTCCTCGGTACACTTAGGTAGTGGAAATCGACTCTTTACCTGTAGAAGATGTCTCCACTGGCACGGAGTTCCATTTAACGCCACCTTTCCAGCGTCTCCGTAGGAACAGCTGTGAATCGTCCGAAGTAGTGACGGAACTTCGTTTGACACACGTTCACCTCACGGGTGGACTCACATGAGGAGTAAGTCCGTCAGAGGCTCCACTCAGATGTGGAAGATTTCATAATTCCCACGAGACTCGGAAGAACTTCGGATCATGTCTGGAACCTCCTGTTCTCTCCAGCACTTTTCTGTTCGGTTCTGCCCTCCGAACCGAACTGCTCTCCCTCCGCACTGGTTGGAACTAGGAAGTGTCGACATTTAAAGAGTTCTGTTTCCGGTTCATTTGGGAAGTCCTGATTGGCTCGCAACGAACCAACAGGGTGTGGTCTTAGTGATGTAAGAGGTTATTAAAAGTCAAGGTGAAGATTAGATTGTTTAAGAACAGACAGAAAAATGTTTTGAAGAAACCGAGACTTCGTGGAGTCAGTTCTCTCATATCTGTCTGAAAAAGTTAAACATGACATTTCTTTCCAGTAAACATGTAGTTGACCGAAACTTGACCTTTGACCAACTTACACTTGCTCATTTCAGACAGAAGATCAAGAAAATGAATAATTACTCTGTAACAGACCTTAACTTGATTTCTACTTTGAATGAGGATTAAAAATCATTAATACTGTTTCACAGTTGATTTAAAATGAGTAGTTCACTTCAACATTTAAAATGGTTTGAACTAAACACACTTTGATTATCAAGGCATTTGTAAA